TTGTGTAATTAGACGCAGCTGAGTAATTAGGCGCAGATGTTATACGGTGTAGTTTCATTCTTCTTTATATAATAGAAGAAATTGTAAACTCTAATCAATGAAAACTTTAAGCTACTGAATCAGCTTTACTCTCTGGTTTTTCTTTCTTTTACAAGTTCTTTCGTTTGTTTTGACTTGGTATCAGAGCTACTGACTAAGTGTCAATGGCAACTGATTCTGGTTCGGCAAACTCTCTTAAAAGCATAGAAGAGCTTCTAAGAGAGTCAATCGATCGTTCTACTTCGCATTTGATCAAGGAATCTTCAAATCGTGGAATTTCAGTTTTACCTTCCAGTTTGCAAACCATTAGTCCAAAGCTCACAAGAAACAACTATCGATTCTGGAGCTCACAGGTTCTCTTCGCTGTAGGATCGCATGAATTGGAGGATCATCTCATTGGTAAAGTTCCCTGTCCTTCTCCTTTACTTGTATCGAATTCAGATATTGAAAATGAGTTAGGGCAAATTAGAGGTGAACTTAAGTTANTATATATATATATATATATATATAAACTTGTCTATTTGCCTAAAATCAAAGCGAACATCAATTGGTGGTGGTTTGATTTGCTTTTTCAACTCCTGTATGGATTATATCTCCATTTCGTCAATCACTAGTCTCATCCTGAACTGAAATTATTACCAAAGACAATCATGATTAACTTGAACAAAACTTTTCAAACCTTAAAGCCGTCACGCAGATATTAGAAACTATTAGTGGGAAAATATAAATATTCAAGACAGTGTGGCCAGATGCATATCGCATATTGGCATTAACGATATAAACACTTAAAAAATTAGTACAAGAAGTTGCATCGAAGCATCATACCAAATATTGATGGTAGGTGATCCGTTAGTGGAAGATTTGATATTTATCCATAAAATACATATATTTTATATTATATACATATATAATACATATATAATATCTAAATACCAAGAAGAAACGAAGTACATGTGACAAAATGTATCTAGCAGATAGCTTCAACCTCTTTCATAACTTCGTCCACCATGAAAGTTGACAATTAACTGAACATAATCTAATATATTAATTACCTAACCAAACCCAGTCCACTATCTAGCTGGACCACGAGATCTAAGTCATCTTATGTTTTAGGGAACATATTAAACATGTAGAAAATTACATAATAAATAAGTAACACACCACATAATGAGAGATAATAATATTTTAATCACCACTGGGTGGTCGAGTGATTAATTAGGACTCTTGGGTATATTATTAAAAAAGTCCTGAATTTGATTCACCTCAACCCCTAATATGAGTGATCATTTAAGCTCTTATCCAACAAGTAACTCCAGGGTTTCGGAGGATTAGTTGAGATACATGTAAACTGACCCAGGCACCCTCGGTTATCAAAATAATAATAATAATAATAATAATAATTTGGTACTTGAACCACTATCTTACCAAAGAACATTAGGCGTGCGTATCTATTTCTTCTCCCACAACCAACTAAACCAAGAATAATATTCAACATTCCTATATTCACATGTATATATATCAAGATCTAGATTAGTTATATGGAGGGTCGATTGTTTTTGCAGGCGCTCGGTCAATTTCTGAAAGAAATGTTTTGGAAAATTAATCGAGTCTAACCCAACTTGATATTAACTTGACTCTTCATAGTCCAATTTGAATTTTAAGAGTATCTCCAATAATGCTCTTTAAAATAAGGAGCATCTTTCATATAAATAAAGAGTATTTTTATTAATTTTTAAATATAAAGAACAAAATTTTTATTCAAATCCAATAGACTCTTTAAATTTTAGGAGAGATAATATGTTTTTTCAAGAAAGAAACTTAAATATGAGAGGTAAATCACAAATAAGATGCATAGAAACTTGCAATTTATTATTTAAAATTAAGATAGAGAGTGAAATTTGATTCTTTAAATATGGAGAGTCAAACTCACTCTTCAATTTATATTTAAAGAATAAAGAGCTTGTTGGACTCTTGTTTCTATAGATAAACTCTTTATAATAAAGAATTTGGGTTATATAAAGAGTCATTTGGAAATCCTCTAAGTCTTGATCCTGCATTCAACTCAGCTATTAATAAACTCCGAATGGGTACGCATTAATTCTAATAAACTTCATCGGACGGCAATTAAGCGATCATCAGTTTTAATCAGTCAACAAAGTTTATACCATTTCCTCATGCGATAAAGAAAATTTCGTCCTAGCAATTTATTTTCTCGACTCTCTGCCACATAATAGTCTTATCCAATAATCTATTTCTTAAATGCTCATTATAGACACAAATGAGAATAGTGGCCGGGATAATTAATTAATGGATGACCATCACTTTCTGCTGTTTGATGAAATCCGATTCATTGAGTTTTAATCATTACGAAGGTTTTGTACAAAGTAAACGACTTTTTTCCAACCAAATAATGATTTAATCACACTTTTTCACCAACAAGTTTTTAAAATATTATTTTATTATCCAAATTTATATTTCGTTTTTTATTTCGGTGTCATTGCGACCCCACATCATTATCATTCTCTTCTCCGATCATCACTCACCAAAATCTCTCAAACCCTACTCTCGTCGACCCTGCTAATCGTCTGTAATCGAGCGATAAGGATCTGCACAGCCGCCTCTTCCAAGTCAAATTCTAATCAATCCCAACCACCAAAATTCAACCTTCCACCACCAAAAGACTCATCGGTCTTCCCTCTTAAAAAAGGACCGATTTTGTTCTCTGTTCTCTATCGAAATATAAATTTGGATAGGAAAGAAATATTTTAAAAGTTTGTGGGTAGGGGTGTTCAAAAGTGGTTAACTGAATCGGTTAACCGCTTTCTTGAACCGAACCGATTTTTTTATTTAAGAAAATTCATGAACAGAAACCAAACTGGTTTGGGGGGAAAACCGATTTTTCGGTTAATCGAAAAACTAGTTAACCGCTTTGAAAAAACCCGTTAACTGGTTTTCCCCTTTTTATTGGATAAAACTTATTATTTTTCCTAAATTAAATTGTAAACATCAACAATACATATCCAAATAAAAATTAAACATTCATACATATCTATTAATCACAACTAATAATACATTAAAAATTGATACAAATAAAAGTCTGAAATTAAAGTCCATAATAAAACAACAAAATAACTAAATGAGTCCCAATAGAAAACAAGAAAAGTACTTGTGCAAATTTAGGGATAAAGATTATTTATTATATATATATATTATGTAAACCGGTTCAAAAAACCGGTTTCGGTTAACCAATTTTCATTTTTATCAGAATTGACAATTGAATCTAAATCTGGTTTTTTGAATTCTTTGAACCGTAACCAAACCCATTTTTTTGGTTAACCGGTTTTTCAATTTTGTTAATGGTTCGATTCAGTTCAGTTTTTGCATTTTTTTTAACACCCCTATCTGTGGGTGAAAAAGTATCATTAAGCCATTATTTGAGTTGGAAAAAGTCATTTACTCTTTTGTACATGAATTAGGGTTAAACAAGATTCTTACTTCTAGAAGTAATTTGGTGTTGAGAATTGACTTGGTTTCGATAAGGACTCGGTAAATGGTAAATAAAACCATTGCTCAAAAAACTATTTTTGCTTCTTTCCCCATAGTTATTGTTGTGCCTAAAAAATCGCACTGATGTCAACACCAATGAATCAAAGTTCAGGAAGGTTTTATGCCATTCAGGAGTTGTCACGTCGCCCCAAAACAAAAGGGATACGACTGTCACTAACCCAACAAATTCAAGTTTTGTCTATGAGTAGATAAGGATCGCACACTTGTCCTAATTTTATCAAAATAAAAAGAAAAGGATTAAGGAGTGGGTCTCCACGCGTCATGATAACTTGCAAAAACAGTCATTACATTGGTCTAAAAGGTGTATAAATGAGCAACTCTCTTCATGAAAAGGGGTGTTGGACATATGAGAGTTAGGCATAGATTTGAGTTTCATTCTTTTTCTCTGTAAGTAAAATATTTCTTTATATTTGTATGTCTTACGGGTAATATCATAAAAATAGTCAGAGAACAATAAAATAACAGTGGATGTAGGATTGTTTTAAGCATCCGAACCACTGTAAAAACCTCTATTGTCAGTCTATTATTTATGTTTTCTGTAATATATATAATCTCAGCACCATATTCAAATCTCATGAATCCATCACGTGTAATTTCTAAGACTCTTTTAACACTTTACACGTGCGAGTCATTGGTGTCCAAAATCAAGCATCAACAATCACAAATGCTACATAAATTTCTAGTCTATGTGTTAGAACCTAGGTCTTTGGTTATATTTGTTTCAATCCATCTGATGTAAATATTGTTTCAAAGTCTTGGAGCAACCAATGCACAAAAATTTAATAAATTTTGCTGGCGTCACCTTTGTCTTTAAAATTAAAAAGTAATGCTCTCTTTAAAAATATTATTGATCATTACGAGATCTCTTTAAGATTTAACTTTAATTAACTTTGTCGAAAAATATGGAGGACCCTACTGAATGTACGTATATTGATAAAATATTATATAGTACCTCCAATGTTATACTAGTTACAGAATATAACAAAGATTTTTGAAAAAGTACTTAGTGATGGTGTTGTATATATTAATAGAAAGGCATGGAAGTTTCTTTAATTTTGAGACAAATTAAGGTGAGCAAATTCTAGCTAGGCTGTACTTTTGGCCCTAACTATGGAAAAGTAAAGCAAATTAAAGATCGACTTCCAAAAGAGCAAAAGGAGTTGGACATAAACAGCTGAAAAAACAAATGTATATTAGCTGCAACAGTATATTTGTATGTTATCTGTTATAGAGAGAGATTGGGGCAGAGAATTAAAAATAAATAATTTATACACACTTTTGACTTTCGAGGTACATATGAGTATACATGCAATGTCTTTAGTTAATTGACTATAGGATCAGAATAACAATAAGAATTAGGAGCTAGGGGCTCATTCAATGCATTCAACGTTTTTCTAATTGCCATCTATCCAGAACTTGGCCTGGAGACCTTTCACAACATATTTGTCCAACTGGAAGGGCCTGGCGAGAAAACCAGGATCAATGGCAGGATCTGATCCAAATACTGCATTTGCAATTGTAATGACACCGGGATTCTGGCTACTCAAAGCGGCAATGGCAATAGCGTTTGTCTTCCCGATGTTGAATTGGAAGTGAATGAGACCAATGGGGAACACGAACACATCACCTTTGTTTAGAACTTTGCTAATAAGTGTGTTATTAGGATTGGATGTGACGAAACCAACAAGAAGAGTACCCTCTAGGACAACAAGAATCTCAGTGGCACGAGGGTGAGTGTAAGGTGGATTTTGGCCATAAGGTGCGAAGTCAATACGGGCTGCTGATATGCCAAGAGTGTTGAGTCCTGGGATTTGTTGTACATTTACAGCCGTGACATTTGAACCAACTGGGTTATTAGTGTTTCCAGGCATTTTAACTGAAAATGAGAAATCATCTGCTTTGACAAGCTTTGGGTCCTTGCAGAACTTCCCATTCACAAATACTGCATCAAATAATCACATTATTAATTTTTGTACATTTTCCAGTAACATTATAATAAGTCATAGTGGATGCCATGCAAAAGTAAGATATTGTTATTGCTAATCTAAATATATCAATAAAACAGTGAATACACAGAAAAGGTAATATTGAGCACGTACCACCATGCAGGGGGTCGTCGATGGCTACACAGAAGTCGTGAAGAGGACTGGGATCAAAAGCAGAGGCAAAAGAGGAAGCCAATGCCAAGAAGACACAAGCCAAAAGAAAGTTTTTTATTGTGATTAGGCTAGATATGAACTCTGTTCTTCAAGGATTAATATTTGCTTGGCGAGTAGTGAGAAATGCTGCAAAGCAGAGCTACTCTATTTATAGTTAGAATTCATTTGTTAATTACAACGAGGAGTCAGTCATCTTTAGCAACTGCCGAGTGCCAACTGAGGGCCGATTCAATCATGTAAATTCTTTCTTCATCAGATGCTTGCGTCAACACATTTTTGACATAGAAGTAGTCTTCTTTCGTATATCTGATGATCTGGTGGTAGACGGTGTATTATTTTTTTTCTTAAAATTGTATTGACTAAGTACTAACATTATCTAGAAGTAAACTTTAAAGCAAATTCTATGTTCCAATAAATTAGATGAACACTTGACCGTCCTTTTAATTAAGGCTATTGAATTTATTGACTGCGTCTTTGAGTACGTATACTCATTTCCTAATACCCATATGTACTATTACTGTTATACAAAATTGTTCAAGTATATTTTACAAGTCCTTTGTGATTGATTTACAAATTTCACATTATGAGTAAAGGAGTTTTCCAGAATCGCAAGAAAAATAAGAAAAACAGAGGAATTGACTACACAATACAAGAACGACTATTTTACACTTAGCCTTTATAACCAAAACGCAGTGTTTTGACACCTGCATAGTATTTTACACTTTTACCCATCCTGAGATTTTACACTTTACAAAGGCAGGCAGGCACAAACTAACTCTTTAACAAGTCTAATTTTCTTCTCAACAATGAGTCCACAGATTTTACGTTGATATGTGGAAGCAGTCAAAATGAAAGAAAAATCGAAAGAGAAGAATCAGTGAGTAAGCTGATTCAGTTGTGCTTTTCATTAACTGAAGAGAGAGCTACAGTTTCTTCTGTTATATAAAGAAGAGTAAAACGGCACCGCATGACAACAAGCTTTTGTGCCTAATTACAAAACTACCCTTTTTCAACATTTGGTCAACATGCCCCCTCAAACCAAGCTACATATATCTGACTAATCTCCTGAAAGCTAAGCAGTTCTGAACTGATACACCAACACCATACTGCAACAGTCAATCAGCAGAGACACTTCTTAACTCTGTATTTCAAACACCAACATCAAAAACACTTCTTAACTTCTGCATTTCAAATACAACCACGAACATATCTCCTTTGCAACAGTAGTCTGATATTTCAACACCCAAGGCATATCTCCTTCAATCAATCAACTTAAGAACTGATGCTGCAACACCACACAGCATTTTAACAACACAGCAGAATACTCATAGCAGACCTGATGCAGCAATCACCACTCAGCATACAGCAGAAAACAATCACAGCAGTCTGATATTTCAACACTAAAGACATATCTCCTTCAATCAATCAACTTAAGAACTGGTGCTGCAACACCACACAGCATTTTAACCCCACAGCAGAATACTCACAGCAAACCTGATTCTGCAACACCACACAGCATACAGCACACAGCACACACCATAAAGTTTATTAACTACATTTTGTCTAATGTTTCTTTTGTTCTGTTTTACTCTTTGCAGAATCTGGGTTTCAGTCTCTTTGATGAGGAGCCAGAATACTAACCATTGAGGATTAGGATTCCTTATTTTATGCAGAAAGTTTCTCTTGATATTTGAACCATATTTGATTGCAATGAAAATATTGACTGTTTTTAATTCAAAACTGGTGGATATGACTTCAGTTCATGAGTTTCATCAAATTTGATAGTGATGNTTACTTGATTAGAAACATTTCAGATCTTAACAGAATGAACTACAAACAGAAAGAGCTTCTGTCATTACTCAAAACTTTTCCTAAGGGCATTAAACATGAACCTAACATTAAGAAGAAGCCAATAATGAAAAATCCACTCAGAAAGACAGGAACCAAAGACTACAAAAGACACATGATTCAATACATCATATTTTCAAAGAAAAACCATTCTGTACAACAAAGCATAAGGGTCAAAAAGATTTATCATTTTTGGCTCTTTGCTGCTAAAGTTTAATCATATTCAAAGAGGAAATTGAGTTAATTACAAGCAGAATGAATAATATCTGAATTAATGTGACTGGATTACATTATTTATCAGATTAATATTAGATAATATTATAGATAGAGTATTTTAGTACTTTTCCTTGGTGATTAGCTTTGTGTATAGACTGACACTTATCCTTTTGGTGATTAACTTTGTGTATAGACCGAAGCTTATCATGTTAGCCTCTTGTACCTATTTAACTTGTATTTCTTTGTAATCATTACTTGAACATATTATATACAAGCTGCAGAATTTTCAATTAACAGATTAACTTTTCTATCATGAATAATACTTTTCTGCTAATTGTAATGCATGTAACTCAAGAATAAGAAAGCCGTGATGTGGAATATCGGGTGGCTTGGCGGCTGGCGAAACCGTGGCCACATGTGGTGTGGCTGGTAGTGTAGTGGGAGGCAAGGGATTGGTGGTTGGCCGCAGTTTGGTAGTGCCTTATGAATGGTGGCAGTGCGGTTGCGAGTGCTAGTGGAAGAGGATAGACTGCGGTGGTGCAGTTGAGAATAGGAATTCATTTAACAGAATAATAATGAAATTTGAAAACCAAAAATATTACAAATCAATTTGACAAAACCACCAGTTGAGCATATTCATTTAAAAGATCATAATGAAATTCTTATGCAAATTACCTGTTATACATTGGTTCTACAAATATTTATTCTACTTCCTATTAATTAATTGTAGTTTGTTATGTCAATTGCAAATTTGCAATAAAAGTGAAAATGAGTATACCAAAAGAAGTAAAGGCTAAAGCACAAATTAGCTTCCAGTGACAACTATAGTGGCCACTATAGAGAGATAAATTGAATCAGTAATTCAATGAGAAACAACTAATAGGAAATTAACTTACATGAATTAGTTAACTTATACAAAATAAATCACTCGCATCAATCTTGAGCCCAAATAGCATACACTAAAATGTAGACCATCCTGGAAGTTATGTTAATATACAAGCAAAGATGAGAAATTAACTTACATACATTAGCTAACTTTACACCAAAAAAAATTACTCGCATCAATCTTGAACCTAAATAGCGTACACGAAAATATAAACCCTCTTAAAAGCTTATGTTAATATATAAACAAAGATGAGAATTATATTAGAAACTTCGAGGTTTACAGGCCAAAATTCACTCAAAATTTGAAATCCATCGTTTTCGTTGAATAAATATGAACTACTCACCTTTCTTGGTGTAACTTCCCTCTTTTATTATTTATTTCTGAGGTCTATTTCCACACAGCTAGATAGCTTGCTACTCTTTCATGTTTAGATGAATTCATGTTTTATCTTCGTGCACTTTCAGCCCATGTGAGATACGAAAATTCAATGGTCAATTCCATGTAAAAAAATGTACTATACTTAAGCATACTAATTAAACAACAATTAAAAAAGGAGCTGCTGGTCGAAGAATTAATCATCAATTGCTTGTAGCTTTGAAGGGAAACACTCACACAGGCTCCCTCACTTCCACTATAAATACACATTTCCTCATGCAAGGTATCTCACACATAATCCAACCAATGCAGTAGCACATTCAAAAGAATTAAACCAGCCTACACAATAACCATGAAAACTGTTCATTTCCTTGTAGCCTTTGTTCTCTTAGCTTCGGCTTCACCACTGGCCTTTGCCTCAGACCCTGGCCCTCTTCAGGATTTCTGTGTAGCAATCAACAACACCGGGAATGGCGGTGTGTATGATCTTAATTTCTTTAACAATTAATCATAAACGTTTCTGCTATTTGACACATTATTTTGACTAGTTTTTTTTTTTTTTTTTTTTTTTCTTCTGGTGTTTGTGAATGGGAAGTTCTGCAAGGACCCAATGCTTGTAACTGCAGATGACTTCATCTTTCAAGGGCTTAACATTCCAAGACCCATAAACAATACAGTTGGTACAACAGTTACCCCTGTAAATGTTGAGCAATTCCCAGGACTTAACACTGTTAGCGTAGCCTTAAATCGAATTGATTACGCACCAAATGGTGGCGAAAACCCACCACACCTTCACCCTCGAGCATCAAAACTCTTTCTAGTCCTGGAGGGCACTCTTTAGCTGGATTTGTCACTTCGCTCCCAGAATATAAACTCTTCACAAAAGTCCTCAACAAGGGAGACATATTTGTCTTCCCACAAGGATTAATTCACTTCCAAGTGAACTTAGGCAAAACTAATGCAGTCGGCTTTGCTTATTTTGAAAGCCAGAACCCTGGTATCATTATAGTAGCCGATGCAGTCTTCGGATCGAATCCACCCATTAATCCTTTCATTCTGGCCAGGGCATTCCAGCTGGATCCAAATGTAGTGAAAAATCTTCAAGTAAAGTTCGGGAATAATAATTAAGTCTGCAGTAAGATATAAGTAATAAGAAGTCATAAAGTAGTTGATTGTGATATGTATTAATAAGATGTTCCTTATCTGGTTTGCCTGATAATAAAGGGCTGCTACCTGCTGAGATTGCAGTTCTGTTGATAATCACTGTGATATGAAGTTGATGTTTACCAATAAAGTTTGCTTATCTCTCATAACAAAAAAAAGCTCATAAATTAGTTGATTGTGATATGAAGTTTGAAAACAAAAAGCTCAGCAATAAATACTGTAACAGTAGACCAAACCCTCCTAACCTCTGACTGCATTATCTCTCATAACAGGGCTAATGCTACAATAATCATGGATAAAGACACATAAATCTTTTCCAATCTAATTGATTCTCATGATGAATTTCGTCTAAAAACAATACAGTCTGAGTGCAATACCCCATACTTTTTTGTATGGAATTTTATTAAATTTTATTATATGATTCTGGGGGTAAAATGTAAGAATTTGAAAGTTTTGGGGGACCGCTTTTTTGAACCGAACCATTTTTTCAGTTCGGGAAAATTCCCGAACCGGTTTGGAGGGAAAACCGGTTTTTCAGTTAACCGAAAAACCGGTTAACTACTTTAAAAAAAGCGGTTAACCAGTTTTGAACCGGTTTTCCCTTTTTTTTATAAAACTTATATTTTTTTATTTTTTCCTAAATTAAATTGTAAATATAAATAATACATATTCAAATAAAAATTAAACATTCGTACATATCTATT